CGTACGCAATCGTGTTTTACCCGTAGCGATTGGTTTGAAGTCTTATTTTTATGCCGTTGAGTCCCAATGTACATTACAATGTACATTGCAAATTCTCAAAAAGTAAGTGTGCTAAAATTTTGAAATTTTTAGAATTACTTAAGTACATGGTAAATAAAAAAAAAAACATTAAAAAAATTTTTTTTTTCAAACATGAAAAGTCGGGACTGAAAGGGTTAATAACCCCTCCCCAGAAGTTCGTAATGTACGACCAAAAATTAAAATAAATGATTTAGAAAAATTGCGGCTCCATGATTTAGCTAATAAAAATACAATGAGAATATTTATAGAATTTGGTGTTGAAAAATTCTGGGAATCGGACGTGGTAAACTGGAATGAATCTAAAAGTTTCATAGAAGCAGAGAAAGTTTTTAAAAATCTTCGAGTTACGAATGACGTGGCAGAAAGAGGAGTTGCATTGATCCAAGACCTTAATCGCAAAATCACCCATAATGAGGACCAACTTCAATTTCTTTTACAAGTAGTTTCTGAGCATCGAAAGACTTATCCTAGTTGTAGCAAACACAGTCTAAAAAATACAAATCCAACTTTTATATCATAAAAATTGTATTCGAATAATATTACCTAAATTATTTATAAGTAGACAAACTTGTAATATATGTAGTACATGATTTTTTAATGTATAATTAAAAAATAAAAATAAAGATTTCATCCATGAAGCAGTTATTTATAATTTAATTGATATTTCAATTGTTTAAATTATTCAATTGACTTGGGATGGATCAAAAAAAATTTTAAAAATTTATTTTTTATTCTAAACTAAATTTGGAACTATATAGAACAATTATAAAGTGTAGGAGATTAAGTTTTCGAAAAAAAATTTTTTTTGCTTATTTTTAAACCACCCTAATATGTATTATAACATGTTTAATTTCATTTATAAGATAAAATTAAATTTTACCAAAGTAAATCAATTTGAACTTCAAATTCAATATTATCTGGAATTAATGTTGCTGATGTAGGTAGCTTACGCCACTAATCATCAATATGTTAAACTTTGGGGTCATTAACATCAGTTATAGAAGGCAACAATTACATCAGATTAATAAGAGAAGGTGTATTTTGCCTGAACTCTAATGACAGTACATTTTTTTGTTTCAAAGCCGATAGTTGCATTAAAATTGGATCTTCCATGTTGTATCTCTTTTTTAATTCCAATGAGGCAGTTTGTAAAAACTTTTGATATCTGTTGTAAAATCAAATATTATTAAATAAATAAATAATCGACCAACTTAATTTATACTAAATTAAAAAAATTGATGACATACTTTCAAAAAAAAATTTTTCGTCGATTTTTGTTGCATATGATGTTAGCATTATATTTATTGAGCATCATTTTTGTTTCTAAATAGAGCTCATTATCGACCAATTGATACTGGCCATTCATAGGATTTATATCCATAGGTGGATGTATAGGACCCAAGTATGAGGGTAAAATGTGACAATGGAATTTGTCACCGAATTCACTACCAGCGATAACACTGTGGCCTGTCACGCATAGGAACTGAATATTCGCGCCAAATTTAGTTAAACTATATAAATATCGTCGGATAGTGATTATGAGTTGATAAATTCGGGATTTGAAAGCAGTAGAAGAGAGAGCTTGAAGACAAGAAAATAAGTCAGTGGTGATAAGAAATGTATTCGCTGGTAAGGTTGAGATTATATTGAGTGCTTCAATTATTGCAAAACATATTGCAGTGAATTAAGAAGCCGTAGGTTATTGGAGAAAGAAATGTGAAACTCAGGGATGTAAAAGGAATAGCCAGCCGACAGGGGAGACACAGAGCCATCGGCGAAGATTAAAATGAAAAGCGGGAAAGTATTTTGGATTAAGTCAAGAAAGATGTTCACAAAATTGGGAGGTATGGTATTTCGAGAGGTTCGTGAAAAATGTTATACATTTTTATTGATGTGAGTGATAAGGGAAAGCAGTAAAGATTGAAAATTGGTTGGATATAGTGGACGCTTGTTTGTTTAGATAATATAATTACACGTGACTGTAAGAGAATGTGCTATGCTGTAAGAGCGAGAACTGGGAGAGATTTTTGGGCATAATGCCAAGAATAGTAAACCTCAAGGAAGGAATTAAAAATGTAGGAGTCTTTTTTTGTTACGAGTATCATACAATATTATCTTAATTTTACCTGGAACCTGGCGCATCATTTGAGTCAAGATCTTGCCGTTGCAAAATTCGATTGAAGACGTCAAAAAACTTAGCAGAAAATTTAGCAGTTTCAGATGGTTGCAAATAGCCATTTTCCAATTCATGTATCCAAAGTCTTAACTTATGGTTCTCCGTCTCCTCTAGAAAGTCTGGTAAAAGGGGTACGGATTGCAATTAACGGTGTGGAAGTTACTGTTTACAACATTTTCATAAATTGAGAAAAGATTTTAAAAAATGCACTTTATCAAGTTCTCCGTACACACAAAAATTGTCGTCCATCGTATTGTACACGGTCAAACATGGAAAAAAAGAATAATGTTCAGCTACTGAAAGTTGAAAGATAATTCTGAAATTACAGCAATTATCGATAAAGTGACACAAAAAGCCGACCGTCTAGTTTTCAACACTGCTTATTGCAGCTGAAATCTTTACGAGTTTAGTAGCAAACTTTAATGGCGGTAAAAGTTGATTTTACCAAAACCAGTTCTTATCAGAGAAGAGTATTAGGTGCAACACAAGTACACTCAAGAGTCTGGCTTGTATTTAGTCCTTACAAAAATTAACAGGAAAAAATCCTAGAAAGTTTTTTTAAAAAAAAATGTATGGAGGCGAATTGCACTAGCAACTACAAAACATAATAAAAACACTTTTAGATGTAGAGTAAATCGTGATAAAAGTACAGTGATCCATGATTTTTATTATGATCCAGATCCTGATGGGCTGGATATGATAGAAAAAGATTTTAAATTGATTACCAGTAAAAAATTAGAAGAACTAAAAATAGATGCAACGTTTTTGAACATTGGTGGAATTTCCGTAATTCATAATTAAAAATTTGAAAATATTCATCTTGGTATTAAAAATAATATTAACACCCTTTTAAAAATATTGAAGAAATTGTGATGGGATATAAAGGTCTTGTTAAAAGTGCATAAATTATATTTTGTGTCATTTTATTTTAAGTCCAATATCTATGTTAAAAAAATGATCAACGCCGACCAGAAATTTATTTTCAGTTCTTACTATGATTATGGTTATCATTTAGTGGGTTAAATTTACACAATATTTAATGCCTATTCTTAACAAATGAAAAATACCTTATAAAAGGATTTAAGTTGTCGCAAAGTATTTAAATTGTAAACATCAGTTGTTATTTAAAAAGCAAATGTATATTGAGGTTTATATTCAAAAACGATTTAGTATTATAGGACGTATAAAAAGTATTAAAATGTAATGAACTTTTGATATTACATTAAGAAAATATCAAAAAATGTTAATAATTTGTTAACAAAGAATATCAAGTTAAATGTTAAATGGATCACTATGTACGTAAAATTGTATTTTATTATCTTATTGGTTATTATCATTAAAAACATGCACCTATCATTATAAATATTTACTTCTGCATATTTGCGTAGAAATTATTTTGAAAACATTTTTTAAATATTCGTTGTTTGAACATGAAAACATTATTGAGACGGGTAACTGGCTAGTTATTGTTGCTAACGATGGTAAAATAATAAATTAAATGAATTAAACAAAATTTTAATACTCAGTTTTTGACGAAAAATTATTCAATTGATCTTTAAAACCAAACATAAACTTAAATAAACAATGAGTGAATTATCGAAAGCCAAACTGGTTTCAGTTGACAGAAATAAAACTCAAAATGGAAAGGGTAACTCAATTAAAAAAATCAACAGAAAAGTATCTGAAAAACAAATAGATGATATTGGAAAACTATCGGTGAACGTTGGGAACACCCATACAATCAATGCAGCCACGGAAGTGAAACCCGAAGTTCAACAGAGAGCAGTGCATCCCCCCAAAAAGGCTGTTAAAAAATTGATCAAGCAATCGGTCGTTAAGTCACCGACACAAAAACCATCTACAAAAAAAAACCTGTCTAAAAAACAACAACCGTTAGTCAAAATTCAAAAGTCTCTGGGGGCGAGAAACCCAAATTTCACAACTATAAATAAAGTTGAAACAAAAAGGACGAAGTCAGAGAAACGTGTTCTAAAATCAATTCCGATGATTGTTACGTTGCCAAGAGACACAACATCACGTCAGGCGGACAGAACGACAAAAACCAATCCAGCTGAAAAAAAGTAAGTGTATAAAAGTGGACAAATTCGTTGAATTTGTTTGATCTGAAATACTATTACAACGTTTACTAGGCTAGTAAAGGTCAAACGAGTGTTGAGAAAGAAACTTGTATCATCGGTGAATGGGAAAACAACAAAACAAGATACAGTTAACTCTATGGCTGTAGAAAACGTAATACCCATCAGTAACACTAAAAAACTGCTCCCGGCATTGACCAAACAAACATGAAAAACTATTAAAAAATATATATAAATTACACTTCCATTTTAAAGCGTTTAAAGTAGTCTATACAATTTATTACATATTCAGACAAGAGTTACAAAAGGGCATCAATTTAAGTTTCCAACGCATGAATCTGTGTCCTCGCGCAGTAAGTGTAGGTAGTTATGTTATTACTTTCGAGAATTGTTACATTGTTGAGTTACTCATACGGATATCGAGACTCAGTGACAATATTCAAAGGAAATTCTGTCAAAATGCCTCATATAATTTTGCCATAAATAAATTCCTAGTTAATTTATTTCAAAATAATAATAATCAGAGATTTTATCCATGGAATTGATTATATTAATAATGTAATTTTAGATTCCCAGAGACAGAGTATAAATTTAACGGTTTAACGTGTTTGAACGGCTATCGATGACGTGAAAAACGGTTTTCGCAGTTAGATGTATTCTATTGTAAATACAGTAAGTTCCCTTCGGATTATCCAAATTGGTTCTCGGGTTGGTACAAAGGGTAGGTACATCCGAATTGGTTCCCGAGTTGTTAAAAATCATGGCTTAATAATAATAAACAGTAAAAATGTATAATAAACATTTTTAAAAAATTCACATCTTAATTTAAAAATATAAAGTAAATAATAATAAATATAGGTATGTATATCGTTTTTTTAATTCGATCTTTTTTTTGTATAGTTAATATTTTCTATTATTGATGTACAAACTTATAACAAACATATTTTAAAAATTCAAATCTACTGATTTCGTTATTTTTATATTTGTATATTTGTCTATTTCTGTTTTTAAAAATATTTCCTTATTTTTAGACTTATTTTTTAGTTTGTTCGTATAAGTATAAGTATTACATTGTATAAGTTTCAATTTGAACTTCTTTTACTTCATCCATAAATTGAAATATGTTGGAATGTGCGGAATAAAAGCAACCGTTGAACTTGCTGTAAAATGATTCACATCAATTGGTAGTTCGTTCTACACTACTGGTATATCAGCCCACATATTTGTTGGAAATGAGCTATCTTTTCCAATATAAAAGTCCAAAATAATAAATCAAAAGACTGACTGGCGTGAAGATGCTCTGGCTCGTCTGGTCAAATCACATCTGAATATGGGCTGTTCGGGGCTCTTCTATATATGCCTACCCTCTACTTCTCCTAGCCCTCTCAATACGAGTATCCGTTCCCACCTATTCCGTGTCTGCTGGCTATCGTTCCGGGAAGTGCTTACTGCCCACGTTTCGATACGACTTTCATGAGTTTCCATCCAAGATGTGGTGGCATTTCTGAACACCTACACTCTTAATATTACAAATTTATTAATACGCGTATTAATTTATTATATTTTGTATTATTATTAATTAATCATTGGTCCAGTTGTCGCCCATTATTTGTATTTTTAAAGGATCCCACGAAATGATTAGATCGATTCTTTATACTTTTTATTTTCCCGGTAATATTTACGTACCACGACCGTCACGATACTTAGCTCTTCAACACGCCACCTTCCTTATTAAGTTATTAATATTTAGTGTTTATTACCTGTAAATAGCCTACAGCCTTCTGGTATGGGGATGACATGTTAATTATGCTCTAACAATGTTTAATGTAGGACGCCAGTCTATAGCAGGTGTATGTTCCTCCACCATGCTTGGCCCAAGTGAAACCGACAACCTTTTAATTAAGCTAAAGGCCATACTTCAGAGATCGCTACTCGAATAGCGCGTCCAAAGTCCGCATATATTTTATCCGGTTATAATAATTTTTAATTAAACGAAAAGCTTTTTTTATAAGTATCAATAGTTTATTTGAAAAAAAAAACTAGAGGGATATATAAGTAATTTTTTACACCATGAATTGAAAAAAGTTGGTAAAAAAGTTTGGAACAGCTTTCGGAAGTATCGACAATAAACACAGTTTTCATTTGACGAAATACTTCCAAATTTCTATCACATGAAAATCCAATAATATTAATTTCTGCACTATTAATAAATAAAAACTATTTTTCACAATTAGTCATTCAATTATAATTATTATGAGTCTCGCTCAATATTTTGTGCAATGTTTGTACTGTGATGCACCGACTAGCATACGCATTTTTACTAATTCTACATAAATCTTGAGCATCAATGGTTTCAATATCGCATTTAGCCAACTCTCAGGTTAGGTTTTGCTGGTCACTCATTTGATACTTCTTGAGATTTTCGTTCCGAAGTGTTGCTTGATTTCTGTTTGTTAAGTTTTTTATCAGTGTCTTTTTCATGGTTATGTATAATACTATTATCAACAATTATAATGAAATTATTTATTATTAAATACGACGTACATGTTCCTTGAACAAATGTAAACGGTCAATGTCGTATGTTAATTTTAACATAACGGTTATTGGGATGTTGAGATGTATTGCTGAATGTCGTACAGACTATCGAGTAATGACTATCCGTTCACATCAATAATATAGCAACGATTTTATCACGGTTTTTATATTAATGACAAAACATTTCATATTATGTACTTATAAATCGAATTTTGCTCTTTCGAAAGTTTTTATCGGGAACCAATTCGGATGCTGCCGTTCCTGTTTGAATATCGATACAACGACAAATGCGGAGTTATATTATGAGTATTAAATTTTCCAAAATATTTTTAAAAAAGCAGATGCTCTCATCAAATTAATTGATACCGAAAAAGTTATAAAAATACCTGGAATTGTTGGGTGCTAAAAAAATAGAAGTAACATGGTTATGAATTCATCGAGAGAATATTACAGGATTACAATAGCTATTCCTTTATTTGACGACTACAAGAACAACTTCAAAGAAGGTTCAATAAACATAAAAATATTATTTCATCACTGCACAATTTATTTCAGAAAATTTGCAATAAATTTGAGATCAATTTAATGAAAAAAATTAACCAACGAATTCAATAATTATTATAAATCACTTTATTTCTTATTCTACAAGATATTTACTCTAAAATATAGATTTTTTTGAAGATTGATGTTGTAACGATTTACAGATTACTGAAGCGTTATTTATGTCGTGCTCGATGAAATCGCTTAGGTAGACTGAACACAGGAACGTAGAGTACGATAATATAAGTCATTCGCATAACTAAACAGTCGAGTCCGAATCGTGTAATAGAGACAACAGTCATCTCTATATTTTTAACCCTACAATGCATGATTTTTTTTTTCAAGGCAATAATTTTTTTTAAGTTTTAAGGCCTCAATAACATGGGAAAAATGATAAAAAAAATTATGAACTTAAATTGATGATTTATAAGCTCATAAAGTTGGTTGTTGTTCAGGAACGACATCATGCATTTACACTATAACTGTTTTAATTTCATTATTTTATAAAAAATATGGTTATTTTTAATCTATAATTTATTTAAATTTACATTGGCAAGTCAATAAAATAATTAGATACAATAAAATATAATACAAATCTAACTTAAGTAGAGCAATACTTTATAGTCAATAAAAAAAAAATAAAATTTAAACACTTTTTATGATGTATGATATTTAAAAAAACATTTTTTTCCTTTACCAACACATAAAGGCAAATTACATTTTGTACATTTTTGCCAGGTATATGAAGAACATTTTGGCATCTTACATCGGCTTTGCTTGTTGGTATCTGTCGACCAGTGACTTACTTGATCCAAGCGAACGTCTTTAGGTGGCTGAACAGCTGCGTTTGGTTTATTTCTCCTTATTTCAATAACACTTTCCAATGTACTTCCAGGGCGTCCACGTTTTGGTGTTATTCGTTGCCCACTGACACAAAGAGATATTCCAAGTTCTTCTCGAAAATCCGCTAGTGAAATATGTTTTTGTGTTAAATTTAAGTTATTATTTTTTTGAGCAATGATTCGCTTGTGTAGTAACGATGAGTTCACTATGGTCATATCTAATAAATGGTAAAATAATCGCATGTACCATTACTTGGTCTCATTTTAATTTTGTATCTACCTAGCAAGCTGTCAAGTAGATCCACACCACCCATATGTTTGTTGTAAACTTTAACAATATTTGGACAAGTCAATTCAACTTTTTTCTTTTCAGTTTTTGAAAATCTAAATACCTTTTCAACTGGGTTGGTACTCACAAATGTTGATAGTAATGTTACTATTTTATTGTCTCGCCAGCTTACTGCAAATATATCTGTATTTTGTAATTTTGTCAAACAACTATCATATGCTCCTCTTGGTTTTTTTAGCATTTCTTTTTCTTGTGGTAGTAAAACATTACAGAGTCTATTTCTTTGAACTGTGCCCAATGATAAAATTCCTCTTTTTTTTTAGATAAACCAATAAAAGTATTGTTGTGTAATAGTTATCAAAATAAATTTTATAATTTTGATTTTTCGGTACTACACGACTTAGTCTAAATACAACATTTGCTGCCGCTCCAAGGTCTGGTTCACATGAAGATCTAAATTCATCATTATTTTCTTGGCCAGTAAATATTTCAAAATTATATGAAAACCCTGATACTCCACTAAGGACAAACAATTTATAGCCCCATTTGTGGGGCTTCATTGGCATATACTGTTTTAGGTAATGTCGAGCTTTTGTGGAGCAAAGCTGCTCATCGATGGACAAACTTTCTTCAATCGGAATTGAACAAAATTTATTTTCAGTGTTTCTACTACTGGCCTTATTTTATATAATCGGTCATATCCAGGATGGTCCTTAGGGAGCATACTATAATTATCATAAAAATGAAGTAAATTTCTGATTTTTTCAATATTATTACAACATATTGTATTTTGAATTATTTTATTTCCAATGTTTGTAGACTAGTATTTTCGTACATCAGATACATGATCAATACTCATTATCGTACAAATACCCAAAAAATTTTTTATATCATCACCAGTCATTGAGAAGGTATTATTGGGATCAACTTGTTTACTATAACGATTAGACTCAAAAACAATATGTTCAATAAGGTCGTCAGAAAAAAAATATCTGAAAATTTGAAGTGGTGTTTCTAAACACATTATTTCGTCTGGTAATAAAGAATTACCAGTAAAAGAACTATTTATAGCAGGCAGGTTTTTCTGTTGCCATTTTATATTTTGTTTTTTTGGTTTAGATTTTAGTTTTATGTACTGTTGTTGTGGCAGCTAAAAAAGTAGCAGATTTTTTTCTTTTTTGTGACCT